GAGCCATACGATATGGAGCCTTTGAAATTGGAGCAGCTCCCGGAATTAAGTCAATAGAAAATTGAACTTCGCGTTCCGGGGCAACACCGGGAAGTTCATCTGGAAAAACATCTGGAAACTCATTAACAATATGAATATCTTCAGGTTTAAGTTGTATCTCACCCGGATCTTGAAGTGTAGCTAAGAAGCCTTCACAACTTTGCCAAATCAAAGCTTTAGCTTGGACAAACGATATAACTCGGGTTCCTGGTTTAGGCGAGACACCCTGGAATACAGATTTTGGATTGACTTTATCATCAAATATCACTTGCTTTGAATCGCAGTCAATCACAGCTCGATGTTCGGATAACCAATCCATACCAACAATTATATCAAAATGGTTCATCTTCATCGGAAGGAGGGTGATTTTACGAATTCGATTTGCAATAAATAAAGGACAGTCTTTGTATTGTGYAACAATACAGACAGAGCTCCCCATAGGGGTAGAGATAAGCAAGGGAAACTCAAGTGACTGTTCATACTGTTTAAGATTACTTTCAAGATGCTCTGCAACTATAGAATGAGTTGCCCCAGTATCAAATAAAACATATATACTCATATCRTCAATAAGGAGATGACCAGAGACCATACCAGTAGTGGGTTTGTCTGCTGATAATGTGAATACTCGACCTCCGGCRGTGGATTGCTTTCCCTTGTCTTTAGATTGACTTGTCCCTGAAGCTTTAGCCACTTGACCCACTTTACAATTTCTAGCCAGATGACCTCGCTGACCACAATTAAAACATGAACCAGTCATCCGAAGGCATGGACCCGGTCGGTGTGGTAGATTGCATTCTTTGCAAACAGTTGGAGGAGTCACGACTGAAGGATTTGAACTTGTAATACTCTGAGATGACCCTGAAAATTTGCTACCACCAAATCTCCTTTTATCTGAATTGCCTAACTTAAACTTGTTGAAACTTCCCGATGACCCGTTATGCTTTCGCCTTTTATCTTTATCACCCTTAAACTGAATGGTGTCGAGTCGTTCCCTTTCTATATT